GGAGGGAAAGAGGAAAAAACAAACAAACAATGAATCTGACAGAAATGTGAAATACCATAAAAGAGTCTTAAGGGTCAGAATTTTTATTCATTTCACTGGTATAGGGGACAGAACCATCACGGAGCATTGAAAGGAAGGGAATTCAGGAGTTCGCTGTGGATTCACACGTATCACAAGAGGAAACTCAGGGGAAAGGAGAGCAGGTGAACAAAGGGGGGGGGAGGCGAGAAGATGAGTGACAAAGGAAAAGAAACAATAGAAAAAGGCACTTCTACTCTTTCAGTAACCAGTCCGATGCACCAATCTCTGGAATTAAAACAAAATATATTGTACCGCAACCCAAACGCACCCAACAGAGAGAGCATGTAAACGAAGCCGGTTTCTCTGTACAACACCGACCAGACTCGCTTCTGTCTGCGGGAGCGCTGGGAGTCCTGAACGTAAAACGTGTGCGTGAGTGCGTATGGACAGTCTCATCTACCTGCCTTCACTCGCGTAAAAAAAGTAACAATGGTCACAGCTACCAGCGCCAGCCTGTGGTAAGAGCCCAAAGCTTTCTGTAGGACATCAAGGGAAGACCACAGAGCCGGCACGCGGAACATACACCACGACTACGGTGTTCAAGCAAATGAAAACAAGTATTCATTGTCTTTAAAAACGATTCCTTTCACGTACAAAAAGTAATAGAAGCAGTCACACCTTGAGATCCCAGGCTGTTCTGTACCGACGCCGAGGCTCAAGAGGATCACCGAGCAAATATTAGGTTGAGTTTTCAAGTATGGAGCGATTCAAGAGGCGGAGGCAGCCCCTCTGCGCCGGTGAGGGAGCAGGGCTTCTCTGTAGCTACGCCCTCTGTCGCCACACACAGAGAGGGAGTGCTTTGCCTCCGCCGTGGTCTAGTAGAACATCACATAACAGCTACCAGAAAGTTTAATCTGGAATCACCATTGAGACCGAAGGGGAACGGTTGCGTCGCCGGCCCCGCAGAACCACCAGTTGGTAGCAGCTTCTGACTTCTCTGTAACACGTCAGAAATAAAAACAACGTGGCCTGCGGCGACCGGGACGGAACCGTGGCGACAGTACACATGTGTAAAAAGTCTCTTAAAATTTCGCAATCCGATCCCTGCACTATGTAACAAACACATTCTTGTTGAATCCAACTAAAGACAGGTTTTTGACATTTCACGAGAGGTTTTGATCCCATTGGCGATGGTACGCATAAAGTGGTGGACCTGGAAAATGGTAAGCATTGGTTCTCTTAGTTGGTAAAACAAAAAGTCGAGGGGTTAGTGCTTCAGCCAGCAATGCATAGCATCACAGAACAACCTTTGACCTCCATTTGTGCCATCACTTGATCTGTCAAGCAAGTAGGTAAGGAAGAAAGGGCCGAAAAGAGATGGGGGAGAAGAGGGCGCATTAAA